AACGTCCATTGCTGACTCCATACCAGATCACGAAGAAGACTAGAACAACAGATGATCTTACTCTCGACATGGCACGTACGCCAACCCCTGCTCTGAGACCCGAAGGACCAGGACAAGATCGGACCGGAGATTATACGGATTCCATCTTGTCCACCACACAGCCGTCGTCTCACCGTCCATCTCCGAAGAGACCAACACCCCCGTCGGATGTTCAAAACCCTACCTCGTCTGGGTCTGGTATGATCAATCAAGTATGTCAAACGTTGGAGGAGCATGCGATGGTGGTGGACAGTCAGCATTCTGATCATATGAGGTTGCTCAAGCAGCTCCAACAGGTCAGTCTAGTCATATCGACTGATGTGTTTTCTCTCCTGCTCTCTTTTTCTTTTTCTCTTTCAATCCTTTCATTCCCTTTTACCCTCTCCACTTGCACGCCCTTTCCATTGTCGCCAGACACTATCACCCATCTCGCCAAACGACCCAAAATCTGATCGCCCCCTGGATACACTTTCCGTATCCCCGCCGCCTGTCCGACATGTATGATCATCGAAACTGACCATGCAGTCAATCCAGAACATTGTTCAAGATCACACGCAAAAACAATCCATCAGCGCTCACGATCTGGTTCGGACGAGGGAACAATTAATCCAAGCGAGATCCGAAAGGGATGTCGCCGTACGTCAACGAAACCAACTCGAAAGGTCTTTGAGATCTCTGCAGACCCGATACGAACTCGAGCTTACCAACGTCACTGCTTTGAACGCTCAATTGGGAGAGATGGATGCGTTACAGGATCGAATAGCTTTGTTAGAGGATCAGCTCGTTGATCTCGGTCATATCCCAGTCGGCAAGGGATAAGTACAAGTTGGGGATGATGTGGACCCGAACCCTGATCGTTTTGAGGGAAAAGATCATCTCACTCTCGGCGGGGTCAACACGGCATAAGACCAGCTGATGGTTTTTCAAGTCAACCTTTTGAAAGCATCAACCCGAAGCGGCCTGTGTGATTTGAGCCAGGGTCAACGCCGGTGGTGACGAGACCAGCAACACGGCCGATGATATGAACATTGGATCTTCGGTAGCTTCGAATGGGTCGGTCCGAGCTATCAAATCTATCAGAGGTAACATGAGGAGAGGGGGAGGGACAAAGAAAAACTCTATTTCCTGCGATTGTGTCAATTCGGCAATGGGAATTATTAAGAACGTAAAGAGGAAGGATTGCGGTGCGAAGTAGGAAAAAGAACGACCCCTACGACTGTACGATCCTGCCACCCTACCACCCTACGCATCCATGACCCCGCGGAAACAATCGATTTACAAAATTTACCACCATCCATGACCCCACCTCCCTACGCATCCATGACCCCGCGGAAACAACCCATTTACAAACTTTACCACCATCGGTTGACCTTTGACTCTGAAGGAAAACGTTTAGACATCTACCAGTGTACCAGTGATCGACAAAAGTATCCAACAAGCTCGCTCCGAAGTTGGTGGGGAGATGGATATGGTGGAGCGCCAAGTTTGGAATATTGACCGTTGTTCAATCATCTGCTACCCTGAATAAAACTGTTTGGGCGGGTGGAAGTGGACATGATGACATGATTCAACAATGCTGCTGAAGCCATGGGATGCTGCTGGCCAGTCAGTTGTCATGGAATTTAGACAAGGGAAGAAACGGTCCGTCCGATACTGTTTGTCGATCACTGGTACATGTAACATGTATAACATATCTTTTGGATTTCAAGAGACGATCAGAAAGGAGTCTATATCATACATGTACTTGTTCGGGTTTTCACAGGAGATTTATCTCACCGAAGAGGGATCGAAAGAGTCTACAGTATATCATACTTTTGGGTTTTTCACACGAGGTCATCCTCACCGAGCGCGTTTTCGACCGTCACCGTGAAAGACCTGTTTGACGACGTTAGATAGCTGAGGACAGAGCCGGGGTGGGAGGATACAAGACGGATGTTGGTTGCGAGGTCGTTATACTGTACTCGTCGTCACGACTTTTCTCGGATCGACCACTTTCTTGGATATCATCCGGATTCTTTTATTGTACATTCAAACATGCATAACAAGGAGATGTGAAGTTTCCAAGCCTATCATTTCGACACGATCAACTTGACGGTGATGTGAAGTTGTTTGAGATTAAGAATTTACTGTATCATCATTCACCATATCCCTAACTTGAACTCTGGTCGGTTGGTTCTGACCTGCGGCCAACATCAACAAAGTTCAGATCCCCCCCCCCAGTCTCGTGTTGTCAAAAGAAATTAGCACAAGCATAAAAATTGAAGTTGTCAACCTAGTGTCCTAGCATAACAAAAGTTTATCACAAACAAATGGCCCTTACGACTATAGCTGTCCTGTCCCCACTGCAAGTCTGTGGCGATTTACAGTAGCAATCTGCTTCCCTCGAGCTATATGTAGGGGGGGGGGAAAGTACTCCTTACGGATTTCACGTCAGTGACCGGCGCGTGGTACAAGTTTGAAACGCAATGGTAGAGAGGGCTTTTCGTTATTGAAAAAATGCATCATGCAAACCTATCTAATATAGTAACAAGTTGTATCAAGTTATATGAATCTATCATATATCCAAATGCTAAAATAATAAGGAATGCGTGGATGAAGGAAAGAAAAAAAACCACACACCAACACTAAAAATCACTGGCTTTGGTCGACGAGGAGAGATTTGAGATTGTGGACATTATTAGGTTCTAGTGGGGGATGAGACAAGTAGGTCGGGTCCGTTGATCGATTCCATAAACATTTGCTCCGAATTTGTACACAATCATAGGTTGACCATTGATGCGTTGAAAGTCGGAGGGATCAAGTTGAAGTGTCTTGTCGAATCGCACGAGTATCGTGGGTTATAGTAAAGACATGATCTTGTCGAGAACTAGCAAAACTCTGCATAGTCGTAAACCTTTCTCGAGTCCGATAACCGACCTGTCCATGACCATCACGATTAGGTGTTAGATCCGGTTCACTGTGCTCCGAGATCGGACTGAGAGTGGTCATCACTTGATCAATGACGATTGATCGTTTCAATTTCGAGTTTTCTTTGCTTCCTGTCATTCCTTTTCCTTTTCCTTGCTTCCCCCAGCCACCATCATCATTCCCAAGACTCATACTCCCTTTCCCCAGATCCACACCTCGGTTCCTGGTGTGACCTCGTACGGTAATGTTGGTTTCATCCAAGGTCGGTTGAGATTGTCCGACCGGCTTTTCATGAGCCTCGTTTGACATTTTGGCGTCAAGGGCTGCGATCAAGTCTTCTTTTTCATCAACCAGATGATCATTTTGCATTTTCAGACGATCATGCTTGACTCGGAGACGACTGTAAGTTTTACGAAGCGCCGAGAGAGTCATTTTGGAAGGAGTTTGAAAATCATCAAGACCGCTATCATCTGAATCTGAATCTTGTTCATCATCGATTTCATATTCTCCATCTTGTTTATTGATTTCATGCTCTTGCTCTTCATCTCCCTCTTTCACATCTTTTGGTTCAAAGCTCAGTAAAGGACGTGATGGTGGGTGGGATTCGGTTGAATATATTGTGACAGCACGACGAGATGAAGGTGTAGGAGTTTCCGGCAAACTTTCCATTCTCTCCATTTCATTCATCCCCAGGTCGATTTTCTTCCAATCCGTTCTCCTTTTCATCCCGGTCAGTTTCGGATTCGACGGTTTGCAAGTGTCCTTTTCCCCGGTAACCACCGACTCGGGCATGGGGTTGGCCCTAACCGCAGTGGATCGGCCGACGTGTAGATCCGAAGCTCTGGGAGAACGGTTGACGTCCAGATCCCAAGTCCCAAAACGGTTCATGGAAGAAACGATACCTGAAGGTATGGATGCTTTTTCTTCGTTTACTAACATGTTGGTGATGGAGGGATAAGGATGGGAACGACCGTTGGTCATCGAGCGAGTCTTGGCGACGTGTGATGATGGAGAAGTATCGGTCAACAAGGTTCGTAGACCAGGAGAAGTGAAATGGAGAATGGGGATAATCGGCGGGCGTGCTAGCAAGGATCGTAGACGAGGAGGAGTAAATATGAGTGGTGGAATGATCGGAGGTGAGTCAGAAGAGTAAGAGCCGGCCGAGGTGGTGTCCTCGATTGGGAAGCATCTTTCATCTTGGGTCGTTGGATCCAAAGTGAAAGAGGGTTCGCTCGTGATGGGAGAGAAAGGATCAAGGTCGGTCGGAATGATGTGAGACTCAAAGGTCATGTCGTCATTACACTCGGATGAGAGGGGTATATGTTCATGACCAATGGTGGTAGCTGTAGTAGTACTATCCTCTGAAGCCCAAGGGGAACCGACCTGTTCATGCTGCTGGTAAGGAAAAGGACGATGAGAACGAGGAGTATCCACGGTGTAGGATGCAAGCTGTAGGGAAGGATGATGGTGTGCTTCTGTTTCGTTCCGAGGTGCTGAGTCTGTGAGCGAGGTACAAAAGATTAGATGACCCGGCTGACAGACACTCACTGGAGATGAGGGAAAGGGAATCGAGGGTGATAATGGCCCATGATTCCGGTCGCGGTCGGGAGCGAGAGGGGGAGGGGACGTTGTCCGTGTTGTTACTGCGACGACGACGGTTCATGAAAGGGACAGGGAACAGGGGCATCGTGATGGGGAATATGAGGAGGATATATCTTAGGGTTAAGACGGGTCATATGGTCATATTACGGGGGGTTATTATATGGGTTGGAGGGTTGGAGGGTTGGAGGGTTGGGGGGTTGGGGGGAAACGCCGCGGCGGTAATGACATGTGGCACAATGCATTCCATTTAGGCGACTCTCCTCGGTACTACTCCCCTTGCACGTGGTTTTCTTCCTCTAAATGTCACAATCTCTCTCTCTTTTGGCCAGAGTTGAACGACCGGAATGTTATCAATGCTATCCACCTCGGTCTTTTCTCCTTGCCCTTCAACCACCGGAATGTTATACTGATCCACCTCGGCGTCTTGCCCTCCGTCGTCAACCTCGTTTCCCTCTGACCGCTTGACCACTCGGACATTCTCTTCCTTGACCGTCTCCGAGTCGATGGCCGTTTGCTTGTCTTTCTCTTTCGGATTGGGAAGAGTAAAAGTAGAAATGGACATTCTACGAGTTGGTATACCCATACTACTCGATCGACGTGAAAGGGTAGGTAAGCGACAACGCACTGCGTCCTATCAGCCAGTTTTCTTCCTTCCGTTCTCCCGCTGCCTCTGATTCGGACCATTGATGATCGGCCATGTCAAGATCAGGTGATGAGTGTGGAGACCTGCCTGCACAAAAACCGAAAGAGCTCTCAGATATATATATATATATATATAGGAACAATAAATTCAAACGAAAAAAAAAAAGAAACAAACTTTCACTCACCCATATCCTCGCCGCCTACAGAATTCGATCTCCTTCTTACCAACAACTTGTTCTCTTTCTCACCCAAACTCGGTCTCACCGCCGAACGTTCACGTTCAGATCCACTCGACCTAGCTTCTTGCCCAATCTCCATATAGTGCTGTTGCCACCGAATCAATCTGTCCCGAGACGAAGATTTCCTCTCGTCCTCGAGCAAGGTGACGTAGATCATCCGGGGTCTCACGGATAGATGATCTGATAGTGAACGTACGCTACATTCTCAGCGCGAGACTACACTTGGGAGATGGGACTTTGGAGAGTCAAAGGAAAAGAAGATGAGAACGTGTGGGTGGGTGTAGAGCGACAGCGACAGCAGTGGTTCATCAAACCGTGGAGAGAGATTGAGGATGAAAGTAAACTTGTATAGGTTGATTTTGATTTTGATTCTTGGGACATATTTGCACTCACAGCCAACTCTTACATCGTACCATTATTTGTTGTCTGGTTAGACCACTAACAGCTAAGAGCTCACTTATTGCAAGTCTTGATGCCGAGCTAATGTGTGATCAGCTCTCTCCCATCTTCTGTAACGATCTATAAATCTTTTCATCTCCTCCACCTTGTCCAATCAAGTGGGTCGTGGGTGTTTTGACCAATCAAGTGGGTCGTACGTATTTGACCAATCAAGTCGAAGGAGAGATCAAAGCAAGATTTGAAATCGCTCACGGTCTAACGGTAGGGGGGATGAACTCTGAGGAACAATAATCTAAGGTTCAGCACCATCTCTCTCTCTCTTCCTCACACACACACTCTCTCTCTCCGTGACCCACGTAAAGCTCAAGATCATGATGATGAGGTCGATACACCAAGCTCAAGATCATCATAGATTACAAAAGGACTTGGAGACGATGAGGTCGATTCGATACACAGTTAATGAAAAGTTTTTAATGCTTCAGATACCAACTTGCAGGTTCAGGTTCGGGTTGGAATGTAGGGATAGGTTCAGAGTAAAAAAGCAGACGAGAATGGAGTGGATAGGTTAAGAGTTAAAAGAATCAGAACGAGACGAGAAAGAAAAAGGAAAGGTTTCTCACCGATGACACAAGCGAACTTGTTCGGAGATGGAGGACACTTTGAACCTTTACGTTTAGACAGGATATCCGTCCTTTCCATCCCATTACCATCATCGTCGTCATCATCATCTATCCCCTCCTATGAGTTTTAGCGTTTTGTCAACATTTCTTTACCTTTTTAAATGGGTCGAGTGTTCGCTTTGGATCGGGTCACCCCAAGGTGGCGAAATGGAAATGGTAATGGAAATAATGGAAATGGAAATGGAAATGGTAATGGTAATGGAAATAATGGAAATGGAAATGGAAATGGTAATGGTAATGGAAATAATGGAAATGGAAATGGAAATGGTAATGGTAATGGAAATGGTAATGCAAATGGAAATGATAATGGAAAAGTAAAATAAACCGACGAAAAGATGAAATGGAACTGGAAATGGGAAATGCGAAAAAGATGAGATGGAAATGGAAATGGAGAATGCACAGAAGAAAAGACGAAATGGAAGATGAGAAATGAAAAAAGAACAGACGAACACATAATAGAGGGGGTTGAAATGGGAATAAACAGACCAACCACATGAAGTATGGAAATGGGGAATTAAACATACATACGGAAAAGATGAAGAGAAAAGATGAAAAGATTGAAAGAGCGAAAAAAAAGAAAGTGAAAACTGACCATGATCCAAAGAACAGTATTACGACCATACACCCTCGTATCAAAAGCTCTTAAAGTTCGTTTGACCCAAATCAAACCTTGTCCAGCTCCGGGACCGAGTACTACCCATTTCCTTTCGTCAGCAGGATGAAAAGGTATCCTACCTTTACCCATTGTAGCTTGTATGGATTTGACTGTATCGAGCTTGATGATCTCTTTTCCGTCCGAGCTCAACGTGTAGAGTTGTTTACATGTCCATGGATCATTCACCATGATGACAGAAGCTAGAGTTTTATGGGTTCGGTTTGATTGAGATTGAGAAGACACGATGAGAGATAATAATTTGGACAAGAGTTCTGATTTCGATTTTGTTCTTTCCCCACTTAGGGTGATGATAAACCTTTCTCTGTTTGTGTTTGTAGCTGAAACGATGATTTAGCGATTCACCCTTTCACTCTGGAAACAAATAGAAATCAATATAACGTGTCAATATTCCGTCGCCAAGGAAGCGGTTCTCAAAAAAAATCCAAAAGTGATTACCCAGAGCAAGGTCCATGGTGGTTGTGGAAAGAGAAAAGAGAAAATCTCGGGCTGGGGCAAGGAAGATACAAAGGACGAGGGATCTTTTGACATGGAAATTTTACTTGTATCACCCAATCCCTCCCCCGGTGATCTGACCGTGTCAAAGCGAGGGAGAGAGAGACTTTGGACTGACCTGATTGGGCCATTATCAATTCATTAGCTATTCGTTCCATATCATCTTTGGTATACGTTGAAGTTGTAACGTCTGATTGTAAGAAAAGAGTTTGTAAAACATGAAGAATTACCGCGGGACGGTGGTGTTGTGGTTGACGACTGACCTGAAGCTCTGTGTATACCCCAACGAGGATGACGATCATCCTCCAAATCGACGTCTTTCAAACGTCCCGAACGGTCGAGGTTGATTCCGAATCGCCCACAGAGATCGACGACTTGAAGGTCAAGTGAAACCTCTTGCTGGATGGATGGAACGAGGACACCCCTACGCTCAAGCATGAGCGGTTGATGTGTGATATGAGGGTGATGATGACTTACATGAAGGGTATCGTCGGCCTGAAATGTGAGCTGTGAGCTTGTGAGCGATAACAGGTCAAGAGACGCTCACGCTGTTGGACAGAGAAAGAGATCTACGTCGGGACATGACCACAGGCTAGAGAATCCTGAGTAGATAGATAGAGAGGAGAGGGAAAAGGAAAAGGAAAAGCACAAAGTACACCAACGTCGCCCGCCACCAACGTGCAACGTGTCTGTCTGGGTGATAGAGTTGTCCTGACGTGGCATTTACATACATCCGCATGTTGCACGTGAATTTCCCTCTCCGTGTTATGTATGTGGCGTTACATGACAACCAACCTGTTCCTATTACTTAGTACTCTACTATCACCACTCAACAAAACCTCTTTTTCCCTATTAACTTACTACTCCTCTCCCTCTGCTACTCACTCTACTCCCTCTGCTACTCCCTCTCCTCGTCAGTCAACCATGACCAGCCCAAACATCCCCATCCCCCCTTTCCTTGTGCCTTTTTACAAAGCAAAGTTTGACTGCTATGCCGACGGGGGGATACCATATCCCCCTTCTCACGCCGACGTCGCCATGGCCTGTCGCGTCGCCACCAGGTTGTCCAACCGGAGCGAGCTAGATCGACCCGAGATTGTCACTGCCTCGGCCACCCTCTTCCAAACCCTCTTGAACGCCCGCAGTCAGTCCCCCTTTTCTGCTCCATGCTCCACCCCGCTGTGATGATCGTGCTCACCTCTAGATGCCGCCGACGCCAGCGACCGCACAGCCCAGCCCGTTCCCCTCGCTGGCATGGATCTTGCCGCAGTCCTCGCCGCCTTTCAACACGTCCTTCGTCAATCTCTCGCCCCCTTGGAAGCCTCCTGTCGGGTGCCCGGTATTGTATGGATACCTGACTCGCCCGAACAATATAATATCCGTCAGTGAAGGTCAACTCTACAAACGTCTAGGTCAGTATCTGTAGCTGTATGAGGATGAGATGTGGTTGAAGAGTAGTTGGGTGGAGGATATCAGAGACGGTTGAGATGGTGTCAAAGGTAGGTGAAGGTGATGATGATGATAGCAAGTATGATGAATGGGCAATGGAAGAGGAAAGGTGATGAGAGATGAGATGTGTGATCAGCACCTAAGGAGTTAGGTGATGATGCACATAAGGATAGAAGAAGTGAGTGGCAAATGTGTCTAGAAACCAAAGAAGAGTGAAAGTACAACAGAAGAAGTGATCCCCTCTTCTGCAGAACCGGCTCCCTTTATATACATTTCAGTCTTCGAGAGGATCGAATGTTCTCACAATTCGAGGTCGACATTGAAGAACTTCTACAAGAAAGTGACTATACTACTACTAAATAACAAGTCTATGTACATACCGATCTGAGCATATGGAAGAAAGGAAGGCCGATAGAGTCTATACAGACAGTATAGAAGGAATTACAATGAAATGAGTGTGGGGAAGGAAGGGAAGGAAACAAGTGAGAGATTGAAGTAGACTATATACAAGATGGCACTGAGAATGCACTGGTGTACTCCCTGTACACTCTACACCTCCATTGAGACCATCGACTGCAAAATCACAGACCTCGACGCCAAGTTGTCGACGGGAATCACAGAGCTCGACGCCAAACTGTCGACCAAGATCACAGAGCTCGACACAAAACTCTGTGGGAAGATGACCGACCTGCAAGGTCAAATGCAAGACGGACTTTCACGGGTCAACCAGCGACTGGACCAGAACCGGGCAGAGCTCGGGGTGATTCGTCGAGATGTAGCTCGTGTAGAGGGAGTGGTGACCGCATCAAAAGGGACGGTCGAACATCTCGCTGCCGTGCAGAAGCAGAGGGACGCTCAAGTCAGTCGATTGCCCCTCTGACAAGATCTCAAACTGATCCACCCAGGCATTGAACGCTCGTCGTCTGACCGATGGGGAGAATTTGGTGCCAGTCCCCAGTTTGGTTTCTTCGGGGACGCATCCCTCACGTTATGTACGTCAACTTTTCTTTTCTCCTCCCCACAAATCGTACCTGTTGACGGCGAGTATGACGTCGGACGTCACCCCCGCCGCCTTCATGGCCGGAGTGGATGGAAATTTTGATGTTTCCCTCGCTGAGCACTTTGCTGCCGTGACGGCGACCGCCTGCCCTGCAGGTATCTCAGCATCCCAGAATGTCCACCACCGTCTTTGCCTAGCAGAAACGAGTAAAAAAGTGTCACTCGCCTCCCACGTGCTGACGATCAGACACATCCCCTGGCCAGTGTATCCATCGTCCGTGGGCTGTCAGCCGCCAACGTCACGGGCTGGACAAAGTGGTACGGTTGTCAGGGACCCTGACTGGCGACTTCGGAGCAATCTCGAAACGAATGGCTCTTGCGCTTTCTGTGTGGAGATGAGGACACGATGGACTGAGCGACGAGTGGAGCTGGTGAAACGTTCAGCCCTCCCCCCCACCCCCCCCAAAAAAAAACCAACCCAGGCAAACCCCCGGGTCCCTTGAACTCGCCTCTCTTTTCGATCATGACGTTCGGGTTTGCCACATGACATGTCGACGTGCTGATCTACCAGGCCGGGGATTGGGGATTGGGGATCGGGGATGTCACCTATGAATTGAATCAAGGCGGACTATCTCAAGTTGACGAGGTCATTCACTTGATGCCACGCAAGTAGTCCACCGGCCCAGGGAGTGTGGGCTCTGCGACTGATGAAATCATCTTGCTCTGACCGCAGCAACGTCGTGTGATCTGATATTCGTCTTAACGTTGATCAAAACATCTAGACCTTCCCACGAACGCTCATGTGCCTTGTAGATGTCGTGTTGGGTTGAGCTGATGTTGAAACGGTATTTGATTCGGTTCAAGTCATCGCTGGAATGTACATCCTTCCTTTTCCTCCTCCTTTCTTCTTTCTTATCTCTTGTGCCTCTTCTTTTTTTGCCTCCTAAACTGTCGGTCCATCATGACCAGGTAGCATGCGAGACCTCGACCGTCCGTCCACTCCATCATAAACAAAGCTCAGCATCATTTTGAAGTAGTAACACGCACCTAGGCTTATTCGAATTTCAATAATACATGGATTTCGAAATCGAATTGAATCGACACGGCTGAATGTACAGGGTTGATTCCTTTTGAGACAGTCTCAGATTGGGCCAAAGTAGGTGCCTGAAGTGTTCTGACAGCCCTGGGTTCTCTCAGGGAAGGGTAGTAACACGCACCTGGGCTTATTTGAATTTCAATAGTACATGGATTTTGAAATCGAATTGAATCAACACGGCTGAACGTACAGGGTTAATTCCTTTTGAGACAGTCTCAGATTGGGCCAAAGTAGGTGCCTGAAGTGTTCTGACAGCCCTGAGTTCTCTCAGGGAAGAGTAGTAACACGCACCTGGGCTTATTTGAATTTCAATAGTACATGGATTTCGAAATCGAATTGAATCGACACGGCTGAATGTACAGGGTTGATTCCTTTTGAGACAGTCTCAGATTAGCCCACAGTAGGTGCCTGAAGTGTTTTGACAGCCCTGAGTTCTCTCAGGCACGAGTAGTAACACACACCTGGGCTTATTCAAATTTCAATAGTACATGGATTTCGAAATCAAATTGAATCAACACCGCTGAACGTACAGGGTCAATTCCTTTTGAGACAGTCTCAGATTAGGCCAAAGTAGGTGCCTGAAGTGTTCTGACAGCCCTGAGTTCTCTGAGGCACAAGTAGTAACACACACCTAGGCTTATTCATATTTCAATAGTACATGGATTTCGAAATCAAATAGAATCGACACGGCTGAACGTAGAGGGTTGATTCCTCTTGCGACAGTCTCAGAATGACTGTGAAAAGCCCTGAGAACAGTTCTGACAGCCCTGAGATCCCTCAGTCACGAGTGGTAACACGCACCTGGGCTTATATGAATTTCAATAGTACATGGATTACAAAATCAAATAGGATTTACACGGCTGAACGTACAGGGTTCATTCCTTTTGAGACAGTCTCAGAATGGGCCGAAGTAGGTGCCTGAAGTGGACTGACAGCCCTGAGCTCCCTCAGTCAGGGTTATAGGCAGATGTCCAGCCTTGATAACTCTATTCGAATTCAAACTGTAAATTTGGTTGAAATTTGAAAAGGCTCAGACAAGTGTGACTCCATCGTCCAAGCTGTTGAAAGATTGCCCCAATGGCTTTCACAACCCTCAGTTCTGGACCCAAGCAGACTCACTTGCAGATGTCTGGCTGCAATGACCCCATTTGTAATCAAACTGTGAACTTGATTGAGATTCAAAGACACTCAGGCTTGAGTGACTCTACCGTCTCAACAAGCATAAAATTGCCCCAATGGTCTTCACGACTTTCAAGAAAGTCACAGTGTCGAGTAGGGCCATTTGGAGACTGACTCAAGCAGAATCACTTCAGATGTCCAGCCTTGATAACTCTGTTCAAATTCAAACTGTGAATTTGATTGAAATTCAAAAAGGCTCAGACATGTGTGACTCCATTGTCCCAGCCGCTGAAAAATTGCCCCAATGGCTTTCACCGCGCTCAGGTGCATCAGGGTGCTGTGTACGGCCATTCAGAGACTGATTCAAGCCGACTCACCTGCAGAGGTTCAGCTCTGATGACTCCATTCGAATTCAAACCGTGAACTTGATTGACATTCAAAAACACTCAGACGTGTGTTACTTGTCACAGCGTCAAATAACTTCTCTTTAACAGACTGACAGTCAACAAACCTTGGCTAACTTGGCACTTCTGACTTACTGTCCCACCAAAACCAAAGGGGCGTAGACGTCAAAAGGAGTCTAACCACGGCTTACTTCAACGTGATTACTCTAACTAGGGTTTTCTCTGGTGGCAATGTATCTCAACTTGAATGTAGCTATCTTTATCAATCTTGCACTACTGACAACAATCAAGGATCGCTGAAGAACTTCAGCAATCTTCTCCGCTAATATTATCTACTCCTCCTAGATTCTCATCCAACCCTCTTGAACTTAGACGTACTTCAATGCACTTCATCCAACTTCCCCGAGTCCCCGGCCATCCTTCCCTTCTTCGCCTAACTCCGCCTAACTTTAGCTCACTTCTGCTCCCATTGTCCCTACTTAGCCTAACTCCGCCGAACTCCACCGCACTTCTGCTCCCATTGTTCCTAATCCATCTAACTCCGCCTAATTTCGCCGCACTTTACCATCCCTATGCTCCAGATGCCTGTACATTTTAGTCTCCCGTTGTACTTTGCCGTAGGTGGTCTCAGATGTCCCGAATGACATGAAGGGTGAAGCAATTGAGGTGTGATAGGGGTTTGATGGTCAAAGGAGGGTCTTTGAGGACAGGATATTTAGGGTGTCACAACGTAGTTTGTAACATCACCCCAATATCCTAGCAACCCGAAAATTGCCCCATTGGCCTGCACCACTGTAAATCCCAGATTTATGCAGAGTCACTTGTGAATGTCTAGCCGTGATGACTTGATTCAAATTCAAACTGTGAATTCGATTGAAATTCAGAGACGCTCAGATGTGTGTTACTCCTCAATCCACACACAAGCCACAGCAATAGATAACTTCAGGGCACATGTAGGGCCATGTGGAGACTGACTCAAGCAGAATCACCTACAAATGTCCGGCTGTGATGACTGTATTCAAATTGAAACGGTGAGTTGTAGTATAATTCTGAAACGCTCAGTCGTGTGTGAATCCAACACCCTAGCAGCCATAAAATCACCCCAATGGGCTTCACCATTGTTAACTGTGGAAAGCCCTGAGAAAAGTGCTGACACCCCTGATATCCCTCAGGCCCAAGCAGTCACACACACCTGGGCTTATTCGAATTTCAATAGTACATGAATTTCGAAATCAAATAGAATCGACACGGCTGAACGTACAGGGTTCATTCCTTTTGTGGCTGAACGTAGAGGGTTCATTCTTTTTGAGACAGTCTCACAATGGGCCAAAGTAGGTGCCTGAAGTTGACTGACAGCCCTGAGATCCCTCAAGCACGAGCAGTAACACACACCTGGGGTTATTCAAATTTCAACAGTACATGGATTACAAAATCATATAGAATCGACACGGCTGAACGTAGAGGGTTGATTCCTCTTGCGACAGTCTCAGAATGACTGTGAAAAGCCCTGAGAACAGTTCTGACAGCCCTGAGATCCCTCAGTCACGAGTGGTAACACGCACCTGGGCTTATATGAATTTCAATCGTACATGGATTACGAAATCAATTAGAATTGGCACGGCTGAACGTACAGGGTTCATTCCTTTTGAGACAGTCTCAGATTGCGCCAAAGTAGGTGCCTGAAGTGGACTGACAGCCCTGAGTTCCGTCATGTCCAGTGATGACTCTATTCAAATTCAAACTGTGAATTCAATTGAAATTCAGAGACTTTCAGATGTGTATTACTCCTCAGTCCAGACACAATCCATGGGCATCAGACAATTTCAAGGTGTTGTGTAGGGCCATTTGGAGACTGACTCAAGCAGAATCACTTGCAGATGTCCAGCCTTGATAACTCTATTTGAGTTCAAAGTGTGAATTTGATTGAAATTCAAAAAGGCTCAGACATGTGTGACTCCATTGTCCTAGCTGGTGAAAAATTGCCCCAATGGCTGTCACTACCCTCAATCCTGGACCCAAGCAGACTCACCTGCAGATCTCTGGCTGTGATGACCCCATTTGTAATCAAACTGTGAACTTGATTGAGATTTGAATCCACTCAGGCTTGTGTGACTCTACCGTCTCAACAAGCATAAAATTGCCCCAATGGTCTTCGCCACTTTCAAGAAAGTTACGGTGTCAAGTAGGGCAAAAAAGTGTCACTCGCCTCCCACGTGCTGACGATCAGACACATCCCCTGGCCAGTGTATCCATCGTCCGTGGGCTGTCAGCCGCCAACGTCACGGGCTGGACAAAGTGGTACGGTTGTCAGGGACCCTGACTGGCGACTTCGGAGCAATCTCGAAACGAATGGCTCTTGCGCTTTCTGTGTGGAGATGAGGACACGATGGAATGAGCGACGAGTGGAGCTGGTGAAACGGTCAGCCCTCCCCCCCACCCCCCCCAAAAAAAAACCAACCCAGGCAAACCCCCGGGTCCCTTGAACTCGCCTCTCTTTTCGATCATGACGTTCGGGTTTGCCACATGACATGTCGACGTGCTGATCTACCAGGCCGGGGATTGGGGATTGGGGATCGGGGATGTCACCTATGAATTGAATCAAGGCGGACTATCTCAAGTTGACGAGGTCATTCACTTGATGCCACGCAAGTAGTCCACCGGCCCAGGGAGTGTGGGCTCTGCGACTGATGAAATCATCTTGCTCTGACCGCAGCAACGTCGTGTGATCTGATATTCGTCTTAACGTTGATCAAAACATCTAGACCTTCCCACGAACGCTCATGTGCCTTGTAGATGTCGTGTTGGGTTGAGCTGATGTTGAAACGGTATTTGATTCGGTTCAAGTCATCGCTGGAATGTACATCCTTCCTTTTCCTCCTCCTTTCTTCTTTCTTATCTCTTGTGCCTCTTCTTTTTTTGCCTCCTAAACTGTCGGTCCATCATGACCAGGTAGCATGCGAGACCTCGACCGTCCGTCCACTCCATCATAAACAAAGCTCAGCATCATTTTGAAGTAGTAACACCCACCTAGGCTTATTCGAATTTCAATAATACATGGATTTCGAAATCGAATTGAATCGACACGGCTGAATGTACAGGGTTGATTCCTTTTGAGACAGTCTCAGATTGGGCCAAAGTAGGTGCCTGAAGTGTTCTGACAGCCCTGGGTTCTCTCAGGGAAGGGTAGTAACGCGCACCTGGGCTTATTTGAATTTCAATAGTACATGGATTTCGAAATCGAATTGAATCGACACGGCTGAATGTACAGGGTTGATTCCTTTTGAGACAGTCTCAGATTAGCCCACAGTAGGTGCCTGAAGTGTTTTGACAGCCCTGAGTTCTCTCAGGCACGAGTAGTAACACACACCTGGGCTTATTCGAATTTCAATAGTACATGGATTTCGAAATCAAATTGAATCAACACCGCTGAACGTACAGGGTCAATTCCTTTTGAGACAGTCTCAGATTAGGCCAAAGTAGGTGCCTGAAGTGTTCTGACAGCCCTGAGTTCTCTGAGGCACGAGTAGTAACACACACCTAGGCTTATTCATATTTCAATAGTACATGGATTTCGAAATCAAATAGAATCGACACGGCTGAACGTAGAGGGTTGATTCCTCTTGCGACAGTCTCAGAATGACTGTGAAAAGCCCTGAGAACAGTTCTGACAGCCCTGAGATCCCTCAGTCACGAGTGGTAACACGCACCTGGGCTTATATGAATTTCAATAGTACATGGATTACGAAATCAAATAGGATTGACACGGCTGAACGTACCGGGTTCATTCCTTTTGAGACAGTCTCAGAATGGGCCGAAGTAGGTGCCTGAAGTGGACTGACAGCCCTGAGCTCCCTCAGTCAGGGTTATAGGCAGATGTCCAGCCTTGATAACTCTATTCGAATTCAAACTGTGAATTTGGTTGAAATTTGAAAAGGCTCAGACAAGTGTGACTCCATCGTCCAAGCTGTTGAAAGATTGCCCCAATGGCTTTCACAACCCTCAGTTCTGGACCCAAGCAGACTCACTTGCAGATGTCTGGCTGCAATGACCCCATTTGTAATCAAACTGTGAACTTGATTGAGATTCAAAGACACTCAGGCTTGAGTGACTCTACCGTCTCAACAAGCATAAAATTGCCCCAATGGTCTTCACGACTTTCAAGAAAGTCACAGTGTCGAGTAGGGCCATTTGGAGACTGACTCAAGCAGAATCACTTCAGATGTCCAGCCTTGATAACTCTGTTCAAATTCAAACTGTGAATTTGATTGAAATTCAAAAAGGCTCAGACATGTGTGACTCCATTGTCCCAGCCGCTGAAAAATTGCCCCAATGGCTTTCACCGCGCTCAGGTGCATCAGGGTGCTGTGTACGGCCATTCAGAGACTGATTCAAGCCGACTCACCTGCAGAGGTTCAGCTCTGATGACTCCATTCGAATTCAAACCGTGAACTTGATTGACATTCAAAAACACTCAGACGTGTGTTACTTGTCACAGCGTCAAATAACTTCTCTTTAACAGACTGACAGTCAACAAACCTTGGCTAACTTGGCACTTCTGACTTACTGTCCCACCAAAACCAAAGGGGCGTAGACGTCAAAAGGAGTCTAACCACGGCTTACTTCAACGTGATTACTCTAACTAGGGTTTTCTCTGGTGGCAATGTATCTCAACTTGAATGTAGCTATCTTTATCAATCTTGCACTACTGACAACAATCAAGGATCGCTGAAGAACTTCAGCAATCTTCTCCGCTAATATTATCTACTCCTCCTAGATTCTCATCCAACCCTCTTGAACTTAGACGTACTTCAATGCACTTCATCCAACTTCCCCGAGTCCCCGGCCATCCTTCCCTTCTTCGCCTAACTCCGCCTAACTTTAGCTCACTTCTGCTCCCATTGTCCCTACTTAGCCTAACTCCGCCGAACTCCACCGCACTTCTGCTCCCATTGTCCCTAATCCATCTAACTCCGCCTAATTTCGCCGCACTTTACCATCCCTATGCTCCAGATGCCTGTACATTTTACTCTCCCGTTGTACTTTGCCGTAGGTGGTCTCAGATGTCCCGAATGACATGAAGGGTGAAGCAATTGAGGTGTGATAGGGGTTTGATGGTCAAAGGAGGGTCTTTGAGGACAGGATATTTGGGGTGTCACAACATAGTTTGTAACATCACCCCAATATCCTAGCAACCCGAAAATTGCCCCATTGGCCTGCACCACTGTAAATCCCAGATTTATGCAGAGTCACTTGTGAATGTCTAGCCGTGATGACTTGATTCAAATTCAAACTGTGAATTCGATTGAAATTCAGAGACGCTCAGATGCGTGTTACTCCTCAATCCACACACAAGCCACAGCAATAGATAACTTCAGGGCACATGTAGGGCCATGTGGAGACTGACTCAAGCAGAATCACCTACAAATGTCCGGCTGTGATGACTGTATTCAAATTGAAACGGTGAGTTGTAGTATAATTCTGAAACGCTCAGTCGTGTGTGAATCCAACACCCTAGCAGCCATAAAATCACCCCAATGGGCTTCACCATTGTTAACTGTGGAAAGCCCTGAGAAAAGTGCTGACACCCCTGATATCCCTCAGGCCCAAGCAGTCACACACACCTGGGCTTATTCGAATTTCAATAGTACATGAATTTCGAAATCAAATAGAATCGACACGGCTGAACGTACAGGGTTCATTCCTTTTGTGGCTGAACGTAGAGGGTTCATTCTTTTTGAGACAGTCTCACAATGGGCCAAAGTAGGTGCCTGAAGTTGACTGACAGCCCTGAGATCCCTCAAGCACGAGCAGTAACACACACCTGGGGTTATTCAAATTTCAACAGTACATGGATTACAAAATCATATAGAATCGACACGGCTGAACGTAGAGGGTTGATTCCTCTTGCGACAGTCTCAGAATGACTGTGAAAAGCCCTGAGAACAGTTCTGACAGCCCTGAGATCCCTCAGTCACGAGTGGTAACACGCACCTGGGCTTATATGAATTTCAATAGTACATGGATTACAAAATCAAATAGGATTGACACGGCTGAACGTACAGGGTTCATTCCTTTTGAGACAGTCTCAGAATGGGCCGAAGTAGGTGCCTGAAGTGGACTGACAGCCCTGAGCTCCCTCAGTCAGGGTTATAGGCAGATGTCCAGCCTTGATAACTCTATTCGAATTCAAACTGTGAATTTGGTTGAAATTTGAAAAGGCTCAGACAAGTGTGACTCCATCGTCCAAGCTGTTGAAAGATTGCCCCAATGGCTTTCACAACCCTCAGTTCTGGACCCAAGCAGACTCACTTGCAGATGTCTGGCTGCAATGACCCCATTTGTAATCAAACTGTGAACTTGATTGAGATTCAAAGACACTCAGGCTTGAGTGACTCTACCGTCTCAACAAGCATAAAATTGCCCCAATGGTCTTCACAACTTTCAAGAAAGTCACGGTGTCGAGTAGGGCCATTTGGAGACTCACTCAAGCAGAATCACTTCAGATGTCCAGCCTTGATAACTCTGTTCAAATTCAAACTGTGAATTTGATTGAAATTCAAAAAGGCTCAGACATGTGTGACTCCATTGTCCCAGCCGCTGAAAAATTGCCCCAATGGCTTTCACCGCGCTCAGGTGCATCAGGGTGCTGTGTACGGCCATTCAGAGACTGATTCAAGCCGACTCACCTGCAGAGGTTCAGCTCTGACGACTCCATTTGAATTCAAACCGTGAACTTGATTGACATTCAAAAACACTCAGACGTGTGTTACTTGTCACAGCGTCAAATAACTTCTCTTTAACAGACCGACAGTGCTGAACGTACAGGGTTCATTTCTTTTGAGACAGTTTCAGAATGCCTCTGAAAAGCCCCTTGAACAGTTCTGACAGCCCTGAGATCCGTCAGTCACAAGCAGTAACACGCACCTGGGCTTATTCGATGTTCCATAGAACATGGATTTCAAAATCATATAGAATCAACACGGCTGAACGTACAGGGTTCGTTCCTTTTGAGACAGTCTCAGAATGGGCCAAAGTAGGGGCCTGAAGTGAACTGACAGCACTGAGATCCCTCGGGCACGAGCAGTAACACACACCTGGGGTTATATGAATTTCAATAGTACATGGATTACGAAATCAAATAGATTCGACACGGCTGAACGTACAGGGTTCATTCCCTTTGAGACAGTCTCAGATTGCGCCAAAGTAGGTGCCTGAAGTGGACTGACAGCCCTGAGTTCCGTCATGTCCGGTGATGACTCTATTCAAATTCAAACTGTGAATTCAATTGAAATTCAGAGACTTTCAGATGTGTATTACTCCTCAGTCCAGACACAATCCATGGGCATCAGACAATTTCAAGGTGTTGTGTAGGGCCATTTGGAGACTGACTCAAGCAGAATCACTTGCAGATGTCCAGCCTTGATAACTCTATTTGAGTTCAAAGTGTGAATTTGATTGAAATTCAAAAAGGCTCAGACATGTGTGACTCCATTGTCCCAGCCGCTGAAAAATTGCCCCAATGGCTTTCACCGCGCTCAATCCTGGACCCAAGCAGACTCACTTGCAGATCTCTGGCTGTGATGACCCCATTTGTAATCAAACTGTGAACTTGATTGAGATTTGAATCCACTCAGGCTTGTGTGACTCTACCGTCTCAACAAGCATAAAATTGCCCCAATGGTCTTCGCCACTTTCAAGAAAGTTACGGTGTCAAGTAGGGCCATTTGGAGACTGACTCAAGCACAATCACTTGCAGATGTCCAGCCTTGATAACTCTATTCAAATTCAAACTGTGAATTTGATTGAAATTCAAAAAGGCGCAGACATGTGTGACTCCATCATCCTAGCCGCTGAAAAATTGCCCCAATGGCTTCCACCACGCTCAGGAGCTTCAAAGTTTTGTGTATGGCCAGTCAGAGACTGATTCAAGCCGACTCACCTGCAGAAGTTCAGCTCTGATGACTCTATTCGAATTCAAACCGTGAACTTGATTGACATTCAAAAACACTCAGACGTGTATTACTCGTCACAGCGTCAAATAACTTCTCTTTAACAGACCGACAGTTGACAAACCTTGGCTGGCACTTCTGAGTTACTGTCTCACCAAAACCAAAGGGGCACAGACATCAAAAGGAGTCTAACCACAGCGTACTTCAACGTGATTACTCTAACTAGGGTTTTCTCTGATGGCAATGTATCTCAACTTGAATGTAGCTATCTTTATCAATCTTGCACTACTGACAACAATCAAGGATCGCTGAAGAACTTCAGCAATCTTCTCAGCTAATATTATCTACCCTCCCTCGATGTCCACCGAACCCTGTTGCGCTTTGACGTACTTCAACGCACTTCGTCCAACTTCTTCAAGTCACCGGCCGTTCTTCTTCCCCCTTCGACTAATTCTGCCTAACATTGCCGCACTTCTGCTCCCATTGTCCCTACTTAGCCTAAGTTTGCCGTACCTCTCCTCCCATGGTCCCTACTTAGTCTCACTCCGCTTAACTTTGCTGCACTTCTGCTTCTATTGTCCCTAGTCTCACTAACTTGCCCTAACTTCGCCGTACTTCTGCTCCCATGGTCCCTAGTCTCACTAACTCCGTCTAACTTTGCCGTAGTTGGTCTCAGCTGTCCTGAGGTACATGTAGATTGGAGGGATTAAGACATGATGGGGTTTTGATGGTTAAAGGAGGGTTGTTGCTGGTGGGATAGTTGAGGTGTCACGACATAGTTTGTGACAAATTGAAACAGAAGCAAGGGAAGGCATTGGCGTACTTTGCTGAATTCCAAAAGTATATTGCTATATTGGGGTGGAGTGAGGGGGAGATGTTAGTGGCCCGGGCTATTGGCGGATTGGACGAAGTTATGAAGGACAAGCTTTCCCGGAGAGACAAGATTGAGACCATGGAAGAGCTGAAGGCAGTGGTGATCAAGTTGGACAATAGGATGACTGAGCGTTGGGTGGAGAGACAGCCTGATGGGCAGAGAACAAACTGGGTAAGTGTCACGCGGCGCCGCGTGACATTATCCTTTCCCATCAAACGAAGTTCCTTTGGACATCAGTTTGCCATCAACGACCCAGTTCGCATGAACTTCACCACCCACGAGGGTATTAGGAGGCTAACTTCGTCGAGGACGAAGTTAGTCATGTAGGAAGTTAGGGGGATACGAAGTTAGGGAGATACGAAGTTAGGGGGATACAAAGTTAGGAAGATACGAAGTTAGGGAGATACGAAGTTAGGAGGATACGAAGTTAGGAAGGCACGAACTTCGTCGGGGACGAAGTTCGCGAGGTACGAAGCTCGGGACGTCGGGTTGAACGAAGTTCTGCGTTGACGAAGTTAGGGAAGGACGAAGTACTTAAGGGCCGAAGTTCCCAGAGATCTTTGACAATCTCTGGTTGTTGTCTTAGTGATAGAAGTTAGTTAAGCACGAAGTTATTACACCCAGAAGTTATTGTCACCTATTTCATATCTCGAGCAACGAAGTTGGTAAAGGTCGAAGCCCACGAAGTTATTGGCCGTCGGTCCTCAGAAGTTAAGGAAGAAACAACCTTGTGACAGTAAGAATGCCTAACTTTGTACAATCATGTCATGAATTGACAACTCTGCTCTTGTGCACACAAGGCAGAAAGTCCAAGTATCAGTTTCTTCATGTTTAGTTCTGCTCTTATGCCTTCAAGGCCAGAGACCTGAACCTTTAGTTACCTTTAGTTAGTTAAGTTATCCTCAGCTAGTCTGCCCAGTATGGCATTAGACCCAAGACTTCAGTTTAGTTAAATTTAAGGCGAACATATGATTTACGTTGTCATGTGTGCTTCTGCGTGCGGTCAACAGCGTATTGTACCCATCACGTCGCAAAGACCATGCAGCTTTCTGATTCATGGTTGATATACACATGAGATCGAGAATCAAGACTCTTTCCTATGCAGGACGACACACAGCCTGGAATGGACTCAGAAATAGATATAAACCCCATATAGTTCTCACATAGTTTCTTTTCTTCAGAATCTTCTTTTCAATTTTCTTAACCTTGTTTGATAAGTCACTCAGTTGGTTTCAACCCAACATCTCAGTCTCCTCAGTATCTAAGGCAGTCATCAAGCTCTACAAGCCAGAGACTAAAACCCCTCAGTATCTAAGGCAGTACTTTACTACAGCAGTCTACCCGCAGGCATGACAAAACAACACCAAAGTTACCAACCACACCCATAAAGAATCCTGTGGGCTCGGCGTTGCTTCCTCCTGTAAATCGGAGCAACTTAGTGACAGGATCACAGTTTTGGAAAGGGGATTCTCTCACCCCTAGGCCGAGTTTTGAACAGAGAGAAAAGTGGAGAGCCGAAAGAGCGTGCTTGGAGTGTGGAGGCCAGGGACATTATGTGAAGGATTGTCCTTTAGTAGCGGCTAAGGTAGCTCAAGGAAAGATGAATCCTCCGGAGATGTGGAAGAGCTCAAGGAATAAAGGAACAGGATGGAATGCAGTGGTGATGGGAGAGCCGAGGCAGATGAATGCAGTAGCAGGAGAGAATGTGGAGGAGGGAAAAGGCTTGGACCTGTCAGTTTGAGAGAACATCGGTGGGTCCCATTCTCTGTCCTCTCTGCTATTGTTCCTTCTGATATTAACAGGAAAGACCTGACAGTAGCAGAATAACGTGTATACAAAGATGGACATTTCATCACAATACCCATCACTAATGTGAGACAACCAAAAACTAAAATCAACGTAAAAGGGGCCCAGATGGGCGCCTTATGGGATTCAGGAGCGACCAGTTCATATATAAACCCAAAAACAGGAGAGGAGTTAGGATTGGAAGTTACGAGATACCCAGAGGAAGTACCTGTACATATGTTTGATGGTTCAGAGAGTATTGGTGGTCCCATCTCAAAGTTTGTTGAAACAGGAATTCATGTGTCAAATGAAGACGAAGTTTGGATGATTCGATTGGACGTCACAAAGTTGTGTGATGCAGATGTGGTGATAGGATGGGAATGGATGAAGAAGGAAGGAAGGAGTGGTCCTGGATGTTAGGAAGGAGGTAATAAAGATCCCGGGTAGAAAGAAAAGGGAGGGGGAGAAGTCAGGAGCAGTTTTTGGATTCAAGGAAGGGGAAGTTTTAGGGCCTAGAGACTCGGCGTTGGAAGACAAACTTAGCGAGGAAGAACAAGAAGAGCTGCTGGAGTTGGTACCTTCTGAGCACCATGATTTCTTGGATATTTTTGATCCAAAGGTAGGAGGATAGACGTTACCTCCAAACCAAAGTTATGATTTGAGACTGGACCTAGTGGAAGGGGCGAAACTAAAAGGTGGCCCCACTGTACTTGTTAGCTGAATATCAGAGAAAAGCGTTAAGGGAGATTTTGGAGAAGGAGGTAGCTGCTGGTAGAACTCGAAAGAGTAACTCACCTTATGGGTGACCTATGTTCATGGTTGCCAAAAAGGTAAAAGGACAGTGGCGAATGGTAACGGATTATAGGAAGTTAAATGAAGTTGCCATTCCAGACGTTTATCCCCTTCCATTGATCAGTCAAATTACTGAAGAGTTAGGTACAGCGAACTATTTTACAAAACTCAACTGGATGGGGGCATACCAATTGCTATGAATTGCTGAAGGATATGAATATCTTACAGATTCCGTACACAATACGGAATGTACAAATCTTTAGTAGTTAGGGATGGTCTACAAAATGTGCCTGCCGTGTTCCAGCATTTCCTGAACAACATCTTCAGGGATTTACTAGGGGAGGGAGTCATAGTGTGAACTGGGCCCTAGATCATAAACCGTACTGAAAAGGCTCAACGGATCATCCTTTAACTGTCCTCATTTGCTCAAATCAATATCAACTCGTGGGAGCTTAGCTGATATTGTTAGAATTGGTCATTCAAAATACCTCTCCATCTTATCCTAAGGCTCCCAATATTCATCCTCTCTCAGTCCTGTCTTCCTTCATCCCTTTTGATTTCTATCATATCCTATCATCGCAACAAACACAACTTTTCATGTCATTTTGAGTCGATTATTGTCTGAATGGGAGAGTACACCCAGTCGTGTTTCATACCTCTAATATACAAAAAAAGTTGGCAATAGTTGGCAATAGTTGGCAACAATTGGCAGAAGTTAGCAGAAGTTAGCAAGAATCAACGGAAAGTAGGTCAATGATACATACATATGACAACAATCAAATAGAAAGTCTATCTATTGAAGATGCTTTGTTTAACCAGTTCTGTAAAGCATCTAGTGACGGGTTTTGTAAACTTTGTCTATGTTTATCCCATAACTGGGCTGCTTCCTTTCCATTGACTTCTCGGGCACTTGCTAAGTCTTTAACTGCACGAATAATGTTCATACGCCTTCGATAGAATCGTTTCTCTGTTTCACTGGCTTGCTTTAGACCATTAGAGCTGCTTTCGTACTGACTCTGTATGGAAGGTCGACCATTAATACCTAATGTATACTCTTGCCATAATTCCTGGACAGTGCAGACGGTACGATTCATTGTAAATGGAGTAAGAATGGTTGTCTGCAAAGGGTCTTGCAAATACGGCAAAGAAACATCGCTGGTTGCTTGAAGTGTAACGGATAAAGAGGACGACGATGCAAGTGGTATAGCTTCAGAGCCGGAAGATGTAGACGGGATCAGGTGATTGTCACTGATGTTTGACGGTTGAGAGTTTCCACTAGAAATTTCAGCTAGTAAAGCTTGTAAAGGGCCAGGAATGATCAGAGGTCGGTTTAAAGCCGTTTGTATTAACATAACCCCATCGGATACAGCCTTCATCTGCTCTCGTTGCTCCATTTGTCCTTGACTGAGTTGAAGAACGTTTCCAAGGATGTCTTGGAACGATTGTTGCTGAGCTCGTGTTTGAGTTTGTAAAAGACCGTGCAAAATGGGAAGAGCTTGAGCAATTCGATCATCATACTGCTTTTCATTCGTGATGGTACGAGTTAACGCATGTCCTTCGTATCGTAGGTATTCTTCGTCGGCAAACAGAGGATGATTAAAGATGTAGAGCGATGGATATGCTTTTCGTAAATGAGGAACATCTTGTAGAAATACTTCTCGTAAAGACATTATAGTCTGCAGAAACATACAACCTGTAAGCTCTTCATGCGAACGACCGGCAGCATTCATCAATGACAGCCTAAAAGTGCTAGTTTTTTGTAATACTAAATGATTATTAAAGAAACATACCATTTCTCAGCTTCTGGAAAGACTTTCTTCAGTAGCGTAGAAGGAGGTGTAACTGCTCGCGGTAGGAAGAAATCATTCCCTTCAATAGGAAAACCTGCATGAGCTCGTAACGTTCGTCGAGGAACATGCGTAAGGTAATGAATTTCTAAGACCGAATGCGCCCAATGTCCTGCTCGAGCAATTTCATCTGGTGAAGCACCACCTTGTTCCGCTAATCTAGCACCCATTCGCCTATTGACATGTGTTTTTTGATAAGTGTGAACATTTGCGGTTTGTAAGGCTCCATTTATTGCTCGTCGCTGTGTGTTGTATGAGATCTCCTTAGATCTGTCTCTAGCATCGCTTAAGAGTGGAATGTCGTACCAATTTGCTCGTGTTGACATATCTGGGAACCCGCTTGGAGAAGGCCCACAATACAAACTGGTGATTAGTAAAGTGAACCTCTTATAGCGTGATATAAACGCACCGAGCAAACAGATACAAAGCTAGCAAAAATACAGGACATATTTGAGGATTTTTGTTGCGCATGAAAGCTGCATACTGAGGCTTGCCAGATGCGTTTGTTTTAGATGAAGGTAATACCATAATAATGAAAAGACAGGGGGAAGGGCCTTCATTTGTTGCTATTTCAGAAGACAAGTCGGATAACAAAAGCCTGCGCTGGTTATCGCCACGGAGCATACCAAAGATCCCAGTAGCTTGCGCAAGAGCGTCTCTCAGTCCCTCTTCGTTATTTCTTTCCATGTAATGTGCGAATGATTGTTCTAATTGCCCTACGTTATCATATCCGTCGTAATAAAGTTCTGTCTGTTAGATTAAACCAATAAGAGTACACTCACGTTTTCCCTTGTCCTCGTGAAGTAACTTCTTTCTACGCTCACTAAATTTTTGTAATACCGAAATGATTGTAGCTGTATGTACGTTTCTAGGCGAGCTCCAGCTATTGATACCACGTTCTACCTGCTGCTCCCAAAGATTGACTAAAGCAGCTACCCATGCGTGTACGGTCGCCCCTGTGACTTGACATTCGAGAATGATGGATAGACCTTGTATAGTTAGCACTGATTTAGACGACGATCAATATTAGATACCAGATTTAGGCCCACTATGTTCTCTTGAAGATGGACCAGCGGTAGACAGCAGGAGTTGATCAAGATCAACTTGTGCCTCATTGAGAATGAGCTGATCTTCATCCGTTGCCCACTCAATGGTTCCATTGCCGGACGTCGTGTCTATTGCCTCGAGGTCATCATTTTCAAGTGGTAAATCATTTTCACCTGTAGGGTCGACCACTTTTGACTGTTTTTGTGTTTTAGACACAAGAACCACCTCATATAGAAACAAAAGGGCCAATTGCGGGGTAACTGTTGCTCTAGTCATCAGCACATGGCTTTTGATGGGCCTCATGTGCCGTTCCTTTGGACATCAAGCTTGAGCGTGCTGTACCTTGACAACGACGGCTGTAATTGGCAAAAGTTGGCAAAAGTTGGCAGAAGTTGGCAGAAGTTGGCAGACGCTGGCAGGGGTAAATCTTTGACTTACTCAGTTAGCCATGGCTTGCTCGCAACCCATTTAAACCATTTTTTTTGACGGGTTGTGTACTGTCTAATCGTAGTCTCCTTGTGTTTGTACTGTTGCAGCGACACGGTCTCATCAACAGTGTTCCTTGCTTGAGGAGCAACATAAGGAACGTTCCTTAGTGTGTTAGGGTTCTGTTTGAGATGACGAGGCATATTGATTGTTATAAAAGTCTTGATAAATCAACAAGAACAACGTTGAGTGGTAAGATGATGACAATAGTTAGAGTGAAAAACTTTTGGCAATGATATGACTACTAATGCATTAGGAAACCCATGTCGTATAACTGAAGTATAATTGGCTCTGTTCACATGGATAATTGCAGTTATACAACATAGCCTTGCTAATGGCATTAGGAATTGCAAAGGGATGCATTAGGATTCAATCTCTGAGGTGCGGGACAGTTGCCCAAAGTGGCAGTTTTGGCCGGATGGACCGAGTCCGCGCGGGGGCAAATTTTGGCTGATGCGTCCGTCCGTGTCCGGACGGGACCCCCAGATAATGATCATGTTACAAACAGTGGTGGTGGTGATGGAGGTGGGATAACGCCGAGGCAGCAAAAGGTCTTTCTTACACGGTGTTATGAAAGTGGCACAAACACGTCCTTCCTTGTTCACTCCCCCCAGTTTTGTCCTTGACTGCTCGTCCCCTCAGGTCCCGTCATTGTGGCCGACATCTATACGCCATACACAAGGTCCATAGTGTCTTGTGACTGCACTCGGCATGGACAGAGAGTGCTCGAGAGGAGGGAGAAGTGTACGAGCATCCTGATAGTCAGTCACACGCATACCCAACGGTCCAAGTGCTCTATGGCTGAGAAGTAAGTACAGGATGATTGTGCGCAAGGTCCAGGAGGTGAGCAGGAACGAATGGAGGGGAAAGGAAGACACTCAGGTGGGGATCATGAAATCAGCCAATGGTGGTACGTACCAGCAAAAGGACACCAAGAAGAGATCAGGGGATCAATATGCTCCTTGATGACATGTCCTGCGAGCGATTGCGAGTTGTAAAAGCCGAATTCTTCACACTTATCCCATTCGCAACCTGCACCGGGAAAGCCGCCCTGTGTGGTAAGCTATCAAATGACAACTGGGGTTCAGAATCTGTTATCGCCGACTCACCTTCCGTCTCCGCATCGCAGCAATTGGTATGGCTTGGGCGCAATGTACTTGCACATGTCTTCTGAGCAGATCCGGAGTGGCCAGTAAGGTGTCGCATTCCCTCCAGTGACACTTGATGGGGCGCAGGCGATCCGACGCATATTGTCGAAGTTGATACCAGGTCAACGGGACCGACGACGGCGACGGCGAGCCCAGTTGTTGAGACTGATGATAGAACGGCTTGCGTTTGTCCCTTGCAGAGCGTATGGAGGGCGGTTGGAGAGGTTGAGCGTGTGCATGATGGTTGTTGGAGCTTTTTGGGATGGTTGTAACGACCTCGTCATCACTGTCGCTGATGACTATTGGATCTTGCTCGCTCACACCATGTGTCTTGTGATTGACGTAGGGTATGTTTGGATGGATTTGCTGAGTTTGGATGATATCAAACGCTCCGTGGCCATTGTTGACGTTGACGTGGAGGAGGGGAATGTCAAGGTTCAGTGAGGGCAGCCCAATAAACCCAGAAGGGTGGACGTGAGCAGTGGTTGGTGGGACCATGATCACATGCTTGTATATATCAGCATGGGACAGGCGGTTCTCAATCACCCACTTTATGCTGTCTGGGCTGATGCTCCTTGTCAAGGTCCTGTGATTATTGGTTGGACAGGAAAGGAGAGCAAGAGTGAGATTGCTAGATATGATGCTGACCTGATGTGGTCTATACGCCATACACCTATACATCATACATCTATACATCATACACCTATACATCATACATCTATACATCATACATCTATACATCATACATCTATACATCATACATCTATACACCATACACCTATACACCATACACCTATACACCATACATCTATACATCATACATCAATACGCCATACATCTGTACACCTTACACCCACACATCATACATCCACACCAATACATATCGAATCAGTTGGCCTACCTCTCCCACCTCTTTGATCTTGTCAATCGTCAGTACATGTTTTTCATATCTACCTACCTTGTCTTCCCTATCCTCTTCCCCTCCTCACTCATCCCCATCCTCTCACTCACCCCCATCCCCATCCCCATCCTCTCCTCGTGCCCGAAAAGTCAAAAGTCACTGGTCCATCATCAGGTATATTCACAACAAGTCCCGAGGCCAACTACGAGTTGCTCATCCACCATGACGTCCAATCATCTTCCGGTCACGTTTACGTTTAAAATATTGTTCAGTAACTTTGCTCGTGGGTCATGTTATCCTCACCATCTTCATCATCATCTACCTTATACATCCCTCGAGACTACATCTACATTCTCTCGCTCGTCAATAACTTGTACCGCCCCCTCTCTACTTGATAATACCCCTCGAGTCATACGTCTGTGATCCCACTCGTCATCAATCCACCATTCCCGATCTCTACTCTACCTATACACCTGCACGTTGCAAAATCAATCATTTCATCTCATGTCAATCATTTCATTCTCACCTCCGACTAATGTCCTCCATGGATTACAAACTATGACGATAAATCCCCTTTTCGATGGGTTCAAACAAGTCTCGAAACATATCCCGAAAAAAAAGATTGATTTCAAATGACAAAGATAGAAAATGATAACACCTCCTCCACCGACGACGAAGAAAATTCATCCACTGGTCAATCTCACAATACAACCACCACCCACGCCGGTTGTTCCACTCGTCACATCTTCTCCACCACGACCACCCGATTTAGATCCCAATTCTAATCCTGATCTAGAAAAAAGAAAAGACGACCACAACCCCTAATCTCAGATTCCGATTCCCTAATCCTGATTTAGAGGAATCTTTCTCATCCTCTGTCACATCCCTGATATCTGACGCTCTGAGCTCCATCTCTCTGTCCGATCCACCATCGCAAAAAGCTGCTTCACGTGGAGGTGGGAGGATGACTTTACCTCGTCTCAATTCACCTGGGGGTTATCAAAAAAGATTGAAATCGAATCATACATATTTATTTCCTTGTTCTTCTTCCTCTCCACCGTTCTCGTCTTCGTCCTCTCTCTCATCCCCTCCCCCTCCCCACTTCCCCCTGATCGTCCCTCCCTCCTCAATCGCCCAACGAGGTGCATGATAGTGAAGAACCCCGCGATTCGACCCGGCGTCACCACTCAACCCACCGACCACCCCTCCCAATCCCAATATAAAGGACGAATTGACTTGCCCACACGACCCCGTACTCACAGCTTTTCTCTACCCC